GATTTGTGACATCTGTACATACAATTTCGTGGCTTGCAAACAACCAATGTTTTGGTATCACGGTGACAAAAGACTTTAGCATAAGCAACAAAAACAAGCATTGGAATGCCCCCCTCTTCCCCCCCTCATCTCCACCCTTCCGCTGCATACCCCTTGCTTCTACAGCTCAATCAGACTTTCTTCTACCGGTGGCCGAGATGGCGTGGGCTGTTGATACGGTGCATGAGCTGGGGTAACACCCACGGGAGAGACATCCCCCACAGCCTGGCCGGGATGTACGGGCGCCCCTTGGGGGTATGCCGGGTAGGGGGTCCCTTGAGGAGGTTGCGGGGCATAATATAATGCAGCGGACGGGTCCGTTGGCTGCCGCTGAAGCCCGTAGCCAGAAGCCGGCCCCTGGTCAGCCGGGAGATCTGGAGCGGATGGTGCCGTTGGCTGATATGGTGTTTCCCGCTGCATCACCGGTGAGCCCTGATAAGGCATGTCTGGCTCCATTGGTCGGGCATGCTGCGCCGGTTTGCTGTCGGGTTCCACGTGTGGTGGAGAGGTGTAGAACTGCGTCGGAGCGGCTGGCCCCGCATAGGCCGAAGGGTTGCTGGGATAAGCCATACTGGCGCTTGAAGGTTGTGGAGAGGCAACCGCATGAGCACTGCCGTTCCAGGGAACGGTGGGTGAAATCGGCTGTGAGGGATGCGCGTAGACACCAGGGCTCATGGTACCACTACGTGTCCCGACTCTCTCATGCAGCTCCCTTTCAGGCTGAGGCTGGGGGTAAGGTGTCGTCGGAGCCTGGTGACTCTCGGCGATCGCATTCCCGTAATAAAAGCTTTCAGTTCCCGTCTTCCCATCAGGCGCATGGGCGGGCATGGGCGGGTAGATGTTGGGGTATGGCGATCCACCGGGGACCGGGCTGTACCCTAGGGAATGTTGTGCGTAAGCGCTGGATAGACGTTCCTCAAGCATGCGATCATAGTATCGGACAACCGTCGAGAGTTTGGCGTGTAGGTCAAGGAGAGTGTCTGCATTTCATACGTTAGCCATCAAGACTTTGTCGCCAAGTGATAAACGACAATCATGGTAATGGCTTACCATGTTTGCTCATGGTCTCCCCATAGCTCCGCGCCAGCTTGGGACGAAGCGCGCCAATGCTCTCGTAGAGTTCCTGAATCTGAGGTTCGCGGAGTATGGTCCCCGGGGGCTGGTGTTGTAGTCGGTCGACCAGAGCGGCGAAAAGATGAATGTTCTCTACTTCGACTGGGCTGAGCTCGTAGGAATTCTTAGGCAACGGGGTTGCACTTGGTGTCTGGCGGGACGGAATGTCTGCCGACGATGTGTTCTTCAGAGCGGCAGCATGCTTCTGCTTGTGCTCTTCCATGTCACGCAGGGATGCTTCAATCGCAGCCTTCAGATCTGCGTCCTCCTCTTCTTCTATGGCCGGTTGAGCGGGTGCTCTGGGTGGCTGCTGGACCGCCGTACTTTGTGGAACATAACCACTTGAGCCTTTGTTCTGCGCCTCCTCTAAACTCATTTGTAGCGCCCGGCGCAGATCATCATCGAATCCCCCCTCTGCCCTACCTCCACGAGGCTCCATCACGCTGGATTTAGTTATGGAGTTGTTCTTGAATGATGCTCGGTCCGAAAGGCCGCTGGGTGCAAGGGCCTTGGAGGTCAACTTGGCATAACAGCCGTCGTCCACTCGAACAGGCTGCAGGATTCCGAGATGAGGTAGGGGGAGACTTTTGCTGGAACATTGCGCATCGAAGACACTTCCGCAGTTGCGACAATGGTGTTTGCGGTTCATGAAGCTGAAAGGAGTACGGCAGCGCATGCAGACATCGGAGTCGATCCACTCAGGAGGCTTGCGCAATCCGAATGTTAGCATTGGGAAGGGAAAGGTACTGCAGCGTAAGCAACTTACCGCACTGCTTTCCAGCATGCTTCCGCTAATCTGGGTCTTGGGGGGAAATCGGAAGCCTTCATCTTGCAGCCTCCGGTATGTTTCCCCGACGTAGCTGAGGTCCATACGGCCCTGGGCTGCCATGGCCCAGTCCTGAATCAATTCTAGCATTTTGGCCTTCACGTCGGAATTCAACGGAGCACCCTCGGTCTTGAGAAGCGAAACAAGGTTATCCATGAACTCGCGCGACGCAATTTCCGCCAAGAAATGAGTACCGCCATTCTTCACGCATGTGTCTGTTAACTGCAGGGTGAACCACCCGTCAGTATAAATTGTCGTTGCAACGAAATCGAGTAGCCAACCTTCAATGTCGCCAGCTGTATGTTTGGGTTCTTGTTCTCTAACCGGCGTTTCAAGCATCTCATAGCATCTTTGGGCTGGACACCCTTCGATCGGATGAGGTCGGATATCTCTAGGTTGAGCGCAATGTCCTCACTGCGCCAATTGTTAGAGGTCAGTTGGCGTTTGGCTAGACGGGGAGGCCGTTCGCAGGCCGATCACCGTCAAGTAAGAGGTGGGAAAGGGAAGGAGACATACAGGGAAGATGCGGTGGCCTTTTCCACCTGATCCTCGATCGTTGACGTTGAAGAGAACCACCCCGCCATGTTGACAGTGCGCAATGGATGATAACCTGACGATGGCGGAGCCCAGGATCGCTATGACGTTGGGTAGCAGCGACAAGGGGGGGGCTGCTGGGTACAGTCCTAGTCGGCAAAGTAGAGGAAAAGGTGAGGCTAGAGAGATGACCAGAACACGACCCGGGTTGCTTCAGGAACAGACCTGAGTTGGAAGCCAAGGGCGAAAGAAGGGGAGTCGACAGCAAGCTCCAGGCAGATCGAAAGCGATAACAGTAACGAGCGATGATGGCGGGAGGTACCAACTTACCTAATGCAGTAGGCAACGATGTGGCCCCGCCATTGGTCGGGCGCCATGAGTCAGCCGGCGGCCCCAGGCATCCAGGGTCATGCAGTGGCGTCATAGGCTCGGGCGGTGAGTAACACCGCTCTGATGATACCGGCGCATTACATACCGACTTACCCCAGAAACATCCCAATCCACCCATTTCCATCCCGCAACGTTGGCTGCCTATTTGGCCTGGCAGTTGTCCCATTCTCTCCTCGCCGAGGCCCTGCGCTCGCTCTTTTCCTTGCATGTTCCTTCGGCTCTCTCAGCTCGGGCCTGTCAGTGCGGTCGCCATCGGTCTTTTCCTCTCCGACTTCCTCGTTATCCTTCCAGCCAGTACCCTTCGATTTCCGACCCGAGTTTGACCAGATTGCCCCTCGCCGCGTCTCCTACGAAGCCGTCCCCCAGGTCATGTGCTGAGATTCGGCTTCATCGCTGTGATATAATGTCCCCAGATGCAGCGGCTCTACCCTCTCCTCCAGACTTTGCACCGTGGGAGAACGTTCCCCGCCGCCCTCAGTCCCTCGGTGGTATGCAGCCGGGCGGGAAGTCAATCGCCGCCGGACTAGGATCGTATCAGGCCAACAACAGCTATGGGTCCCCCGCCGGATCTCAACCAGCTCGGTTCCCCAATATTAAGGATCTTCAGGATGAAGCAGCAGCTCTTGATCTGAATGACAATACATCGGTTGGTCTCCATACCCTATGCGCCTGACGGGTGACGTTGCTGATGTCTGACCCGCTTTCCGTACAGCTTAGCGTTCTGCTGGAACGAGCGCAAGTGGCCATAGATCGAGCCCGTGAGCTTGCCAACACCGATCAGCTGGATAGAGCTTATGTGCATTACCTGCGAGCATCCGAGATCACGATCAACATAATACCTAATCACCCTGACTACCGAGCCACTGCCAGCCAACGTCCGGGATGGTACAAACGATTCGGGGAGTTGATGATGGTATGCCGTGACCCCTCTAAAGCACATTCAGTGCTGTGAATAATTGTTATGTCTGAGATTCGCACAATGGTGGCTAATCCGATGGTGACAGGCTGTGCGGATGAAGCAAGGGACAATGGACGATATCAAGCAACAAATATTGGAGAACAATTTGCTGAGCAACGTGCAGCCTGGCGGAGTGTCTCGTTCGAACCCTCCACGACCTAGATCAGAGGTAATATCTCCTGGGTTTGGGCAGAGTCCAGGCCCCAGAGGTCGCCCCGTTGACGCTGGCAACAACTCCCTGCGGATGCCTAGCCCTACGCAGTTCCAACGATCAGGTGAAGCAAATGCGAAGATGAATCGCTTTTCGAGTCCTGCTGGGGATGCACTTGCTGAGAGATTCGCAAAACTAAAAATGCCGCCGCCTCCTACTCCATCTGATGTAGGGTCTATTTCCAATGGCCAAAACAGTACCACCTCAACACCCCCGACTCAGGAGTTCCCTTCTCGACCATCGTCCCAAATGTCTCAAGGAGTACCTCCGCGGCGGCCTCTAGGGCCCCGTAGTATGGGCTCCTCTCATAGTGTGCCTACTATTCCTCCGAAAGTGCCCCTTAATACATCTCTTCCTCGCGCTCCCGATCCAACTTACAGTCCGATCTGGACAGTGCCTTCACAAGGACCCTCAAACCCACCCAGGACCTCAGTCGAAAGCTCTCGTCCCGTCAACCCACGGTATTCTCAGATTACATCATCATCTCGCAGTAGTCTTAGCCATGATGGCTTCGACGACAACCCTTACAGGTCGCAAACCCCAAACGGTGTACATCAGGCCAAGGAAGTTAGAAGCAGTAGTGCAGATCTCCCACACAGCACTACGATTGAGCCTCAGCAGCTGCTGGAGTATATGCGCAAATACAACATTCTATTGATTGACGTGCGTTTTCGGGACCAGTATGATAGTGGCCACATCTATGCCTCTTCGATCCTTTGCATTGAGCCAGTGGCACTAAAGGAGAATGTGTCAGCGGAAGAACTCGAAGAACGCTTGGTGGTGTCGCCTGAACATGAGCAGTCATTATTCGAGCGGCGCAACGAATATGACATGGTCGTCTATTATGACCAGGGAACGGCATCGGTCAGCTATCTAGACGGATCCCCTGTAGGCACCACAGCTCCTCATCTTCGAGCGCTGTATGACACGCTTTACGAGTTCAACGCATACAAGCCGCTGAAAGATGGACGACCTCCCGCCCTACTACTTGGCGGCCTTGACGCATGGGTCGACCTAGTCGGCCAGCAGTCTCTTGCTACATCCTCTACTGCTGCTGTGATGGGATCCTTGCAAGCAAAGAGGCCCGTCAGACGACCGGGGCGACCGCTAGGAAGAGTGCCTACGATTGTCAGTGCCAATTCTAGTTTGGAAGTGAGGAAGAGAAGATTGCGCGAATACAAGCCGCTGAATCCTCAAGAGCTTACAGAATGGATGGAGAAGTCTAAGACGGAGGAAATCGACCCCGGGACCTATATCGAGGAAGAGGCACTCACTGAAGAACCGGAGGGTGCCGAAGAGCCACCTGTCTCTCCCTTTGTGCACACATACGAGGATTTCCTGCGGCGCTTCCCGGAACCACATGCGATCCAGCAGTCAATGGTGACGGCGCATGTTCGGCCCGCGGGGACACCCGCTCCCAATTATGCTGCCCCTGTTCCTGTTGCTCCATCAAGGCCTCCGCCTGCAGTTCCACGGCCCAGTTATAGTGGCGTTTCAGACGGCCGGCAAATACAACCTACCTTGGAGCGACAGTACTCTGCCACCAAAACAGCTCTCTACACACCAAGCTCGATGCTTAACCGCCTGAAGCTCCCCAGGACCGGCTTAACTAACTTTGGCGTGACTTGTTACATGAACTCTACCCTTCAGTGTTTGAACGCTACGGTGGTGCTGAGCAAGTTCTTCATCGACAATCGGTTCCGGTACTATGTACAAAAGAACTGGAAGGGCTCCCAAGGCGTCATGCCGGGGCTTTTCGCGAATCTGATCCGTTCGCTTTGGAAGAACGACGTGGAAGTAATCATGCCGACTTCCTTTCGAAACTTCTGCGGACGATTAAACCAAGAATGGGCTATCGATCGCCAGCAGGATGCCAAAGAGTTCTTTGACTTTGTCGTCGATTGTCTGCACGAGGACCTCAACATCAACTGGCAGCGGACGCCTCTCAGACCCTTGACATTCGAGGAGGAGATGCAGCGCGAGAGAATGCCTGTTCCCAAGGTTTCTAAAATTGAGTGGGATCGATACTGTCATCGCGAAGAGTCGTTCATTTCCTCGCTCTTTGCAGGCCAGCACGCGAGCCGGCTACGCTGCACCACCTGCAAGCGGACATCAACCACGTATGAGGCGTTCTATAGCATCAGTGTGGAGATTCCACCGTCGGGCACGGGCGACATATATCAATGCCTTCGCAGTTATTGTCAAGAGGAGATGTTGAGTGGGGATGAGGTGTGGAAATGTCCGTACTGCAAGTGCGAACGAGTGGCCACCAAACAGATCATCATCACGCGGGCGCCGCAGATCTTGGTCGTCCACTTCAAGCGGTTCTCGGCGTCGAAGACCCAGTCTGCACGAAAGATCCATACGCCTATCGACTTCCCTTTGCACGGACTTCGGATGGATGATTTTGTCTTCTCGGCATACAATCAGGGGCAGACCAACGGATTGCCCCACGACCCGATCGCAGCCACTGTGCCTCCGTTCACGTACGATGCGTACGGGGTGCTACGGCATATCGGGTCGTCGATGGGCAGCGGACATTACATCTCTCTGGTGCGAGATGCGCAGCGGCAATGCTGGCGACGGTTCGACGACGAGCGGGTGATCGATTTCAACCCGCGCGATCTGCGATCGAAAGATCGGCTGCAGAACGAACAAGCCTATATTGTATTCTACGAGCGGGTGCCCGCCAAGTAAGGGACCTGGAGAGAGGGGGTGGACGTCTTTTTTCTATATAAAGGTCTCGTTTTCTTTTTGTTCTTCTTTGTTCATTACCCCACGATCCACCTCTCCCCGGGGTTTCGAGGACAGACCATGGTGTAGCGTTGATTACGATTTGGCATGGGTAAGAGTTGCACAGGGACTGGTGACATCTTCTCCTATACTTGGGGTTCTTTCCTTTCTCATCATATTTGCGATTGCAACGGGAGACGATGACACGGGCTTGCATGAGGGATGAATATCAGCATGGAACGAACTTACTTATATCCTTTGCTCTTTTTTTGTTTTCTATTTTGTTGCATCGTCAACCATACCTATTTGAGCAAGACATGTTGACATGGAATGGGCTGGCTGGCTGGGCCATTGATTTATTTCCATTATTACTTATTTTACTTAGTTCTTCCTAAGCGATATGGGATGTATAGATATTATCTAGTTACTGATGATAGACCATTGGATTACATTTTCACCATATCATTAGGGTACCCCACAATATAGCCGAACCATAGAAAGTCCATGTGTATCTACTACGGAGGACACGGGAAGATAGGCGGCCTCCCAAGGAGGAGTAACATTCCGCGCGGGCACATGAAGCGGGCAACAAAGGCGGGGAATGAATCAGTGACCAACTGGGGCAGTTAATCCCGACGGCGCTACCCGACACGATCCCCTCCCCGAGGTTACGGCTATCGAGGGATCGCAGGGTCGGGATTTACCATCCAAGGCAGATGGGCGGAATTACGGAACCAGGTTTCAGAGGTTATTCCTAGATTTGTTGCATTAACTTTATTATCATCGGATTTGGATGCTTGGTGGAATTCTGTGTTACTTGCACATTGCTCTCTGGAATTCATACTATGTATGAATTTATCAATACAGGTGAAATACTAGACTGCGGAAGATAGAGTATCGCGGAATTGCAAATACTATCTGGAAGATTACTGGAATGGCTGTCACACCACAATAAGGTGGTGGAGGGTGGTGGAGCAGCGAGCGCAAGTCACCGAAAGGGCCAAACACATTACTGTTTTGTGTGACTCTCCCCGCGGAGGTTATTCCGAGAGTTGATTTTCAGTGGAGCGAATAGTCTAATCTTCTTCTAGAATGTTTTGAGAAGAATGATCACAATCTGATAACAGAGGAAGCAAGATGCATTATGATGGCCACGGGCAAACAGATACACCAAATCAGGTAAAAAGATCCTGAAGACCAAGACCACAAATCTAAAACCATATGCAACAGTCAGACAGCAAAGCCAGCAAGCATCACGACTAATCCACCGCCAGAATTTCTGATTATTGATCGACGGCCCGTTCTAGTCACCCTGCCTGATCAGGATTAGTGCATGAGATACACTGACTAAGCCAGGAATAAGCCAGCTGTGATTGGCGGAGAGACGCCATCCCTATCAGGCCACTTTTCAGGATTGCCTGTTTGGGAACAGGTTGGGAACGGAGTCCGATCGAAGTGCAGAAGATCGTATTGACAGTAGGCAGGCAGTAGTGATAGAGGTGCAATAATGTGAAGAGGGAGCAGGCTGCCGGCAACCCGGTAAACGTATGCAGAGGCAAACCCGGTGGCCGGATGGTACCCACGGCTCCTGGTGCTGGGATTGGAATAATGTTCCTGGAAGACCATCCAGTTGGAAGGCGGAGACGGCGTCGAATCACAGGCGCCAGGGGGCTGCCTAAGGAACCGACTCTTTCCCATCTGCTCGGCTTCCTTCTCTCTCCTCCTCCTCCTCCTTCTTCTCCTCTTCCTCTCTTTCTTTCTCCCTCTCCTTCCTCGGGTTCATCTCTAGTCTCTATTGTTCTCTCCTCTAGATCGTCTTGCGTGATCTGTCTCTTTTGAGTCTTGTACTTCTGTACCTTTTCTATTCTTGTTGAATCTTCGGTGAGTCTCCGCTCTATCGCATTTCTTCTCCCTTGCGATCTTGTGTTTTTCTACATTCCGAGGTCCAGCACTCCGTACAGGCTGGACTGGGGGTGGCTTATGCTTCTGGAATTGTTACTCATATTGCCTATCTACTCAATACCCTATCGCATGAAGTCAAGATTCATGG